GGTATCCATAAAAAGGTGTTGAATGCAATATGGTAGGCTTATCAGAGGGCAAAGGTACTAAACAAAATCCATCTGTCTGGCCCAAGTAACTGTAATCCCCTTCCCACTTGACCCCCTGGAACCTGCATTGAAGCTATAAGTGGTCCCAGGAGGCTAAGTTTGAGTGTCCCAGGTTTGAGTGCATAAATAGGGTGCGAGTGTGTCTGCCCTGGGAGGCTCGGCGAGGGCCACTTTGCTGGTCAGCCAGGGGTCAGGTCCCGGCTGCTGCAGGCGGTTCTGCAGCATCAATCAACCCCTATGAAGTCATCCTGTGAAGCCAACAGCCCCTCTCCCTTGCCTGAACTTAAGATTTCCTAGTTCACATGTAGATCCTTTGATGCAGAACGACTGAACCAAGCTGTAGCTGGGTAAAATGAAGCATGAAAGCCAGCAAAGCCAAGCCTTTGAAAATGAAGTTCCAGGGCGAGAGTCCTTACTCATGGTTTTAACCTTTCCATGGCCACGATTTTGCCCTTCAGCAGAAATGAAATGAGAACTAAGAATTTTCAGGGAGGGTGAACAGATTGACTGAAACCTCTTTACCCTGGAATCCATGGAAATTCAATTTATTGTCTTTGGGAGCAGTCTATGCAACAAGACATTTGTGTACGTGTGGATCATTGTGGGTGCTGGTTGGTGGCATGATTCTTTTATCTGTGGCTTGATCAGATACAAGATTCAGAAGATAAACAGTGCTCTAAGAGGAATTTCTAAAGTGAGCTCTTCTTACAAAATACATACATATATAAAGTCTCGCAAGCTTGTCAATGCATTTTTTAAAAGCAGTGTTATGAGCCTGCATTCTTAACTTGAATGAGGGAAGAATAAAGGTGTGAATTCCGTGTTGGTCTAATTAACTGAGCTATGTTGATTGATAAGAAATGAAAGTTGAGTGGATCCCAGTGACAGTCCCCTTGTGTTTGAGAAGTTATAGAATGGAATCGAGTAGACGAGGTGATCGCTCCATGAAATGGCTTAAGATTCCACAGGTTCTGGAAAATTCAGTCTGTGATGATCATGGATTGTGGTCACATAACTCTCCAGTTCCTGCATTGGAAAGTCCGTGTCTTTGAAAATATATTTAGTGAGCAATTCTCCTCCCCTTTATGGGGACATCCGAATTTCAGATACGGCTAACCCTAGTGTGGAAGGCCAGTGGAAGACATCAAAGAGCAGAAAGATGGCCACTCGGCTTGCCCCCTTAAGTCTCAGACTAGGTGGGCTGGCGGCCACTAAAAATTAAATAGGAGAGGTTCTCAAAATGAAAACTGAACATTTCCACAATCATAAAATCAGCTCTAACACTGTAATACTCCTTGAACTCCAAACAAATTATTTGGAAGGATATTAAGCCTGGAAGGTCTTTCAAATTCCTTATTAGAATGGAGATTACTTAGAGCTCATGGCCAAATCACATACAATTTGACCCAATTCTTTTCCACCCTTTCATATCATTTGATATTAGACAGAAACTATTGTTCGAATGCAGAAATTCATTATCCTCTTCTCCAGCCAAGGCCAGGCTGAGAAAATTCCCTGAGACCTGGCTTTCAACCTTTTATTGCAGCCATAAAGGTGGTCTTTCGTGCCACCTAGAGGAGAGATGGGAGCATAGCATGTGAGTCACTCGGAGGAAAATTAAATACAGCTGAATAATTGAATGAGAGGGCAAGTTGAATCAGGGGTCACCATCTGTTTGACTAGAATTGTTGGCACATTTCAGCTAAGCCTCGCGCGCCTCGTAAACATGCTTACAGTTATCATAGCTCGCATTGCCCTAAAATAAAAGAAAATTGGTCCTAAAATAAGCCTGAACTAATTAAACATATACCATCTTGTCGTCATGGAGACCAGAGTGAAGGTCATCAGATTCTTATGGCATGCAGGAGGGTGTTGGTGCCAAGAAGAGACAGGTGATTCTTTCAACTCCTGGAGAGAGGGCATCTCGGGGGCTGGATGGTGGGGAGGTGGGGAGGGAAGGACCACCACCCATTCCCATCCCTCTTTCCTCTCTGGGCCTGAGGGGAGGCGGGGAGGGAGAGCAGGGAAGAAATGGCACCATCTCTGCAGAATCCAGGAGGCAGTGAGTGTCAGGAGGGACGGTGAGGTGCCCCCTGCCAACGTTACTTCACGTTATGCCCAATTGGCACATTTGCCCCGGGGGTGGGGGTGGGGAAGGCATCTTTCCAAAGAAATGGGGTGTCATGTCTGAAGCGGATCACTCTGCCAGCTTCATCTGAGAGCTGGTCCTTTACCAAGAATCTAGATGCGGCTGGTTGGGAGTGCACGTGTGTGTGTGTGTGTGTGTGTGTGTGTGTGTGTGTGTGTGTGTGTGATACTGTACTCTGCATGCACATACAACCAGCACAAATGAATGTTTTGGGGAGATTCACCAATTCAAATTGTACATCTCGTAAATTTCCGTGAGAGTTGGATCCCCACGACCTTGGAGAAAACATGCAGGACTGGAGTCCTCAGCACACAGTGGGCTCTGGGGGGGCCGGGGGGCATCTCAGGACCATCTAGAAGCAATCCCCAAACTTGGAGAATTTTAGAATTGGGGTTAAGGTTTAATGTCTTTGCATGGCTGGGTGAGGAACAGATGATCCATGGTTTGGAGATATAAAGATGAGGCTCCCCTTCCTGGGGGCTTCCGGTCCCTCCCTCCCTGTCTCTTCCGCGCCCTATAAAAACCCTTTTCATTTTCCCTCCCACCCTGCTGGGCTGGGACTGCTCTTCCTTTCTCTCTTCCCTTTTGCACTGTCGATTATGCACAAATCACTTATGGAAGCCACAGTGGAGTGACCCCAACTTCAGAGAAGCCTCCTCGGGGACACAATTAACGTCTGCTGTCGCCCACGTTGGCTGGGCTGACACCGGCTCAGATTCCAGAGGTGCTGTCCTCTCTCATGTGGCAGAGATGCCACTGAGAGGGGGCCACTGCCCGGAGACCAGAGGTTGGAAATGGACCGTGAGGACTTACGCCACTTCTGTGCCTAAGTAATTAGGACCCATCCAATGAGGCTGGTGAGCACCAGCCTCCCATCTCCTAAACCAGACTGCAGGCTGGCTGACTTCTCAGAGTCCAAATGATGACAATAGGAGAGAAAGGATCAAAGAAATGCCTCTAGAACCTGTTGGGCAGAGTGGTGCCTCATGGCTGGGAGAAAGTACCCCGAGACCCCTGCAGAGCTTCCACAGGCTAGTGTCCCAACAAAAGTGGGTCGGGAGCACCGATGTAGAATTTCTTGTGCTTTGGACCAAGAGCTCACTCGATGTGCTGTCTGCTGTCGAGGTCCCCTCATACCTTGCTGACGTCCACGGCCCCTCCTCCAGGTGGCCCTTCCTGTTGCTCCATGTCCCACAAGTGAGCACACATGCAGCCTTGAAGGTGCTTGTTCTCTCCTACTTTCAACACTCAACTTCCTCGGCACCTTGCACGGGCCTGGCACGTGGGTCTGCCTGAAGCCTGACAAATCAAGACCCTCCATGTTCCTCTGCCCTGGGCAGACGGAGTAGGGCCATCCTGCCGGTGCTCTGCGTTTCATTTCTGCGCATAGATTTCCAGTGTCCACAAAAGATACAGACCCATTCACTCCAGATCAAGTGGGCTTCCCTGGGGCTTGGAAATTCAGGATGAAGCTGTCGTAAACCATGGGAAACATAAAGGGTTGGTGGAAGGGGCACCTGCAGGCAGGTCCCACCATGATTCTAGGACAATTGTGGTCATGAAACAACAGAGTCCCTGCCTCTCCCTCACTTGTTTCTGATGTGACCGAAAGGAGTTAGATCTGAGAGCATTTTTCCCACTCAGCCTGGCCCTTTTTCTGCCACACCATCCACCCCAGCCTTGTCCAGAATCTCTATCCCTTCACGGTGAAGACAGGAGCAGTGGGTACCAAAACCTCACCTCACCCGGAGGTAGGAATCCCACCGTCTGTTCACCCAACAAATATCTCCAATTTCTGACATGGGACAGGCAGTGCTGAGTACCCAGAGTCCCAGGCCCATCTACAGGGACAGCAGCTGCCCACTCAGGGTGACTGCTGCCTCACAGCAAAACAGACGAGTCTTGTGAGGCCTCTGAATTTTCCAGTGAAGTCAGAAACACAGCTTTCGATGTGAAGTCCCCTGAGTTCTAAATGTTAACTACCAATTCCAGGCTTTCAGAGGCTCCGTGGGGGCCAAAACAATCAGGTCTGTAGACTGTTGGGAGCCAACACACACCTGCCTTTGACCTTCCCACCCAGACAGCCTGGGGCCCCTCACCCACCTGGCCCTTTCCTGCTGCCCTACATCAAGGGCCGGACTCCCGCATGAAGGGAGGCGATACTCCCCAGAAGTCCTGAGAGGCAGCTCGAGTGGGAGACACTTAGAAAACAACCTCCCACGATCACGGGCCACCCTTTGGGCTTTGCTCCTGGCACCGCTGCTGGGTCTCACACCCCAGTACCACTGGTGTCTCTGCCTACATCTCCTTCGCCTTCCTTCACGGCCCTAGGCCTCACCTCGGGAGTCTAGCTGTGGGCCCTGAAATTGCTCTCTGTTTGGAGATTATTGTGGAGCAGCAGTGAAGGGGAAGGAACTATTGATAATCCACCTCACGGATGGATTAACTCTCAGAAATAAAAAAAAAAAATCAGGCTGGTGCTTGGATAAAGGGAGAGCTGAGCCTTTATGGAAGCAGCCTCTACACACACATCTGCGTGGCAACAGGATTTAAGGCTCGGGCGGCCACTCCACCCCTCTCTCTCTACATGGAAGAATAAATCACCTGTTGCCAGCACCCAAGGAAGCCCCTCCCACCCTGCTGGCTCTGCGTGGAAGAGCGCTGCAGGGCTCCTGAAGCTGTTTCCCAGGACTTGTCCCATCTATGACATGAAGCTCCCTTCATTTCTGAATGAGGATTTGACTATCACATCGCTGGAATGCAGAAAGCAAAGTGAACCCTGAGCAGTAAGGATATGAGGTTTGGGGAGTGAACAGGGGGTGGAGGGGTCACCCTGGAACCCAGGAAGCCCAGAGGCAGCTCTAGAACTAGAACCCCCCCCCCAGGCATCATTATTCCACCCTTTCTTTGTGAGTCTGAAGCTGAAAGCTAACTGGCTTCCGAGGATCGGGGCTTCCTCCCTTTACCATGTATTCTCCAATCCCAAGGCACAGGTGAGAATCTCCTGGGGAGGAAGGGAGTGGCTCAGCATTGAGAAAATGCAGATTCCCTGGCCCTCTGCAGCAGCAGCTCTGCCTCCATGGGAAGTTGGGTGGAATTCAAGGTGAATCCTGAGCTCGGGGTGGGGTGGGGTGGGGCTCTTAGGACCATCCTGACTTCTCCCAATGTGCCCTCTCTGATCCTGGGGGCCAGCAGACAGGACAGTAGCTCTGGAGGCTGGGGGCTGTGTCTGTGGATGGCACTTTGAGCTGAAGGGAATGCTGAGCTGGAATAGGTGGTTTTTCGGGTGAAGAAGAAAGAGGGGCCAGAAAGACGGGAGAGGTGGGACCTCAACCTGGTGGGCATCTCTGCCTATGGCCGGCTGTGAGATGTCTCTCCTTTTCGTTCCTCTGGCCCCTCTGGAAATGGAAACCAGAGATTGTCTGGACCATGAGCCTCTCTGGCCCCTGCCAGAGACCCCAAGCACCCCACAAAATCTGTTGCCCCTTCCCAACCCTGCGAGCCTTCCAGATTTCATTCAGAGTCTGCTGCAGAGGAAACCACAGAGTCCCTTGAGGCTTCTGTGGGTCTGTGGATTCAGGTCCCCTGGCTTCTCTTGGCAGGGGCTGCGTACTTCTAGATGCTGTACATCCTGTTTTTTCATGGACCTTTCACAGTCCGATTTCTCACCCCAGACCCTCTTGAAATATTTTGCTTTTTAAATGTAAACTCTCACTCAACATGCAAACTCTTGACATTCCCAACCACAGCAGGGAGATGTCTCTAGAGTCTGCCTCGTAGGCGCCCATGGAAGGAAATATGGTGGTTTGGGGTGACAGCTGGGGCTACCAAGCTGAGAGGAGAAGGAGCCAACAGCCCTCTGCAAGAGCCCTTCCTCTCCTGGACAGTCTCCCACCCAGGGCTTACCAAATTCCTGGAATCGGAGCACCCGGACTTGGGTCTTCATCAAGTTCTTAGTGGGCTTTTAAGAGAGTTTCTCGGTGCCACGGAAGACAAAATACCCCAATGATCAGTCACTGCTCGTCTCTGATGTTCACAATATGTCATACACAAAGCAGCACAGTTACATATTCCTGCAACATCCAGGGGTCAGAACCAGTTGAGACCCAAGAGGTCAGTGTGCTCCAGCTTCTCCTGTCCACAGGAAGCCTTGCCAGAGGTGAAGAGCCGTGGACATCCCAAAAAGGTAGATTTGCTATGGTGGAAAGGGCTGTGGTCCAAGATCCCCATGTGGGTAGACAAGTGGCTGAGATGGTCATGTGGGTCCAGAGAGATGGGTGAGCAGTGCCCTGACCTCTCAGCCTGCAAGGCACTCTTTAGGTGCATCAGGAGCTGACCCAGGACCTTTCAGAGGTTAAATTAATGGTGCCAACTGTAACTCCGCACACTGGTCACCTGACTGTTAACATCATATCTACAAAACAATAAATGGGCAACCTTGAGATATCAAGATCACCATGTAGACAAAGCCTGGGGTCCAGGAACCTGAGATTCCTTCCAAGACCAGATAGTTGACTGGTTTCTGCATAGGTCCAACCTGACTCAGCCACAGGGTGATCAAGGGCAATACCACTGGATAAGAACCAATGTTTGCTCTAATTTGGATTCATCATCTTTAAGAAACTATTATGCAAAACTTCATAACTTTCTCCGACTGTCAAAAAGTCATCAGTTTGCTTCTTCCACAAATAAGTTCTGTGCCCTAATAACTGTTCACCTCAAAAGAAACTTTCTTGATAATACTCTGTTTTAAGTCCTTGTTAAAGGACCTCCCTGCAAGAAGTTCCTCAAAAATATATTAAAAATCATATTAAAGTCATTTTCATAAAAATGTGTGTTGAGAAAAGACAAGTTTAATTCTCAAAGGCTCCATTATTGGAGCAAAAATTAATATTTGTACTGTTTCTAAATTGGAATAAAATTGCAAAGATGCAAACACCATCCTATATCATAATCTATAAACCAGTCACAAACGTTAAATCAACTGTAAAAATGATTTAAAATCTACATGAATAATTTTATTAAACTGATTTGAAATCATATTTTGTGCTACCTTCATTTATTAACCGAGTCTCCAACAACAATGGGGTTAGAATGGATTTTTGCAAATAGAGATGTTCTGCTCCCAAATAATGCCATCCATGAACAGGCTCCCCTCTCCCAGTGGGCGTGTCCTTCCACCACATGGCATAGAGAATGGACTTTTGGAAAGAAAGCTACAGTAATCACACATTACAAATTGCCACAGAGTCCCAATCAGCACACTTAAAGACTCGGTACACAAGGGTTCTCGTTGATACTGTATAGAAAATTATTTCTTGTGAGCACTCAGCATAGACTGTGTGCAAAGACCTTACATGTGAAGGAATTTCTCAGAATATTTTGAATTTAAAAGTAAGGTTATGTAGGCCTGGTTTGGTGGCTCAGGCCTGTAATCCCAGCAGCTTGGAAGGCTGAGGCTGGAGGATGGGGAGTTCTAACCCAGCCTCAGCAGCTTAGCAAGTCTCTAAGCAAGTTGGCAAGACCCTGTCTCAAAATAAAAAATAAAAAGGGCTGGGAATGTGGCTCAGTGGTTGAGCACCCCTGGGGTCAATCTCAAGTGTACATACACAAAAGCGCGCGCGCACACACACACACACACATACACACACACACACACACACACACATAGTAAAGTTATGTAGCCATGTTTCATTATCCTTTGCTGGAGAGGGCCTGGGACTCCTTAAGCATGCAGCCCTCATTAGTTAATCACTTAAACTAGCAGCCTAGGGTCGATCTTTCTGAGACTTCTGAGGTCCCTCTCCTCTGCCTTCAATGCTGATGCAAATCAGCAGAGCACCAGATACCAGTTTGCCTCTTAAGAATAAGAGGAGTTTAGAACCTGTGTTAAGACGGCCCTTCAGGATGCTGGTCGGACGTTCTTTGCAGACTTGTTGGCTTGCTAAACAAATCCTTTTCCTTGCCCCAACAACTTAACCTCAGTCATTGGGCCCTTTTCGAGGGATAAGTAAACAGACCTGGATTGGGTAGCAGGTAAACTACTGAAAGTCCTCATTGTTGAATATCCACTTGTGAGAGAAGCTCAGAGAGCTGTTGTCTCCACATTCCTCATTGTGCATGAAGAACAATCGCTAAACCAGAATGTTAAGGAATATCTTCCCTCTGGGTGCCAGGAGACACGGAAATCAGAGTGGCGCACACACTACCTTGGCTCTGAAAATAGGAACTCTCAAGCAGAGAACACTTCCACTAATATACCCCGGCTTAGAATGTCCCCCACCTCCCTCTCCAAGGCTTTTCTTACTGGCCCCAGGATAACAGAATGCTTGGGGACTCAAGGCTCATTGCACCCAAACACTAAGTCAGCAAACTCAGGGGCAAGCCCTTTGGCCCCAGTACACAGCAGAAGAGAGGATGTCTTGCTAAACTTGCTCCACATCTCCCTGGAAATGTCTAATGACCCCAAATTCAAAATTGCATATCCAGTTCCCAAGAGGTGGAACAAAAGAACTCCAAGACCAATAGGCACTGTCCTGTAGACAGCACCAGGACTTAGAACCATGAGGCCAGCTGGGGAAACTGTGCCCCAGGAGGCTTTGGACTGCTTGCCGCACCTTTCGGGGAACTTGGTAATCATGGCCTCCTGCCACCCACAGCTACAGGAGTTTCTCAGGGGGACAGAAAGGGGTGTTAGAGATGTGGTCAGGACAGCAGGGAGGATGGCAGTGGAGCCACAATCCCATGCTCACATGACCTGTTCACACAGCAAGTGTCATTGTCCTTGGCCACTCACTGGGTGTGGCAGGAGGGACCATCTCTGTGTATTTAGACGCCTCCTTGGCCCTGGTGTCTAAATACAAAGGCTGCCTTTTACCAAACACCTGCTACTCCACGGCAGGTTTTGACTGACCTCTGTTCCCAGCCAGCAGCAGGAGGAAACGGTGGTGAATGCCCCCAGATGCCCAGCTGATGATCAGGGATGTATGAGGCCAACCCAACGTCCTCCGCCTCTCAGGTGGGGTCACTCTGAGGGGTGTTCCATAGCAGCTCTCCGAGTCCCCAATGCCCCATCCACCCCCTGGACTGGACTCGATAAAGGGTGCACTTTGCTGGATTCCTTCCCTTCCCAAAGGGTCCTCCCTGCAAAACTCAGATGATCCTGGAGGACCTGCATCCTTACCTCCAGTTCTGCTTCCCCAGAAACCACCACGGGAGAGCGATAAACAGATTCCCACCGGCAAAGTATCTTTCTCCTGCCCTGACGGTATTCTTTCCTGCCTGATACTCTGAAACCACTCCTGTTTTAGCCCCCGAGGCTGCACTGCAGGGTGCCTGGGACAGGGACACCCAGAGAGCGCACCAGGACTACTTAGAAGACTATTACCTATTCCCCTTAAGGAGCGCGTCCCCTGACGTGCCCCCCACCCAGGCCCCTATCAAGTCTCGCGCTGCCAGCCTGCCAACCTGCCTCTCCCAGATAAATAATTCAGGGCGCCTCATCTCGGAAACACAATATCTGCCTCTTGGAGGTGTCGTGTGACCTTTCACATCATTTCCCCCAAAAGTTAATTTCTGTGATGAATGCAATACACTCAAACCCATAAATCTGACTGTCTGAAGGATTCAAATTAGGAATTATTGACAGCTGATGGAACCCCAGTGCAGAGATGAAGCGGGTTTTCGCATCTGTCCGTCTGAATGTTGGAATGTGTATTGATTAAAATATGACGCGCTACAGAACCCAACATAAATCTAAACTCTATTAGATTAACACGAGCATTCAATTAACATAAAATGACAACGGAGGAGAAAAGGGCGGCGTGTCGGTCACTGGTAATATTTTAGCCATAAACACGGGGAACCTGCAATCGCGACGTGTGTTTGTTACGTGTGTTGGGGTGGGTGGGGGCCGCGCCTGAGGGTCAGGTGGGCTGTGATCCCGGAGGTGGGTCCCACCGGACGAGGAAGAAAGGGCGGCTGTGACTGGTTGATTAGGGTCTGTGTTACCATCACGTTTACTTTACGACTGGGTAGCAGGCAATGGCGCCTACCGTGTAGGGAGACTCTCCCCTGGAGGGCATGCCACCAGACCAGACTACACGCAGAAAATCTGAGTCAGCTTCTAAGAGGCAAAGAGGACACTCTGGGTGAATTTAGGACCCCAGGGTGGGGCATCTCAAATTATCCCAAGGAAAGGAAGGTAGACATTTGAAAATGAACTGAAAAGATTAGTCCCTGCGTGGATGGAGGAGGATGAGCAGAAAGGGGGTAATGAGAGAAAAGTGCTATTTTTCAAAGCCTCTGAAATACCAGGCTCAGCTTCCCCTGGTGAGGAGGGCTCCATCACATGTCACCTGGAACAGCTGGCTTTGCAGATGGGGAAGTCGAGGCTAGAGACTAGACTAGACTAGAATAGACTAGACTAGAGCCTCTCTCCAGCCTCCAGTGTTCATACTAACAGATTCTCTAGCTAGGAATAACAAGGAACCAGGAGAAAACGTCCCTATAATGGAGGAGCGGGTTTGGGGACTCTATGTGTCAGTTGTGACCCTGTTTGCCAAACGGGTCCTAAAATAGACTTCTCCATAGAAACAATGCCCCAAGTCGAACTGAATGCCCAAGACAGTCCTCCCAATGAAGCACCTAGTTTATGTGTTCACTGGAAACCATTCTAAAGTCATGTGTTGCTGTATAACATATCACATTTGAGAGTCCTTAGTTGGGAATACTGAGGAAACACCTGGGAGGTGACAGCCCTGGGGGCTGTGACGGGATGCTCTGGATCATCAGTACAATCACGGCCTCCCCAGGCACCCAGACACCTTGGTAAGAAAAGACACCCACGTGACCACCTCTCCCAAGTTCGTAGTTGCAGAACTTTCTAAGTTCAGTTTTTCTGGCCATGGAATTGATCTTACTATGAATAAAATATTCTTCCAAGAGAAACATACACACTGGGTTAGGAAGGAGGTGACCCAGGTCAAGACCTCGATGGCCCCACGGTGGGGCCTGGCTTTTAGGAGCTGGGGCTCCATCCGTGTTCATGAGCACCTGCAGGCTGCCAGCTCCAGACCACATTCTTTAGAGTCCCACTGACAAGGGCAGACTCGGGGCAGGCCTGTCCTGAAGTGGGGAGGGCGGTGGAACCCTCCCTTCTAGCTGCACCAGACCTGGGGGATGCTCTTGCAGAACTTGTCAAGCCAAGGTATTGGCAGCGTCCCTGGAGGAATGCATTTTGCGATTGAACTCAGTTGAGTTGAGGCTGTTCATGGCTGCAGCCGATGTCGACTGAGTGTCTTGTCTATTTATACTTCGTGCTTTTTATGGGACAATACCATGCTAGGAACATGATGAGTTACACACATGTCGGTGTCACTACAAAATCAACCACCTCCTCCCTAACTCCGGTCACCAATGAGGAGCCACCTCCCTTCAGTCTAAGGTCAGGACTTCTTGGGGTCTCTGCTCAACTCTTCTCTGGTTCCACTAATGGTCCCTGCTCTACCATCTGCCATCCAGAGCACCCAAGATGAGGTGGACAAGATAGCTCACAAGATGACCTTGACCCTGGCTGCTGTCTATTCAACCCTCACCCAGCCACTGCCTCCACCCCACACCCTCTGTTCCAGAATGGGCCTTTTAGCTGCCTGGCTGGACCAGCCTCTCATGACTCATCTGTGCCACTCCCTCAGCTAAGGAGCTCTCTGACGGCTTCACCAGCATCTAGCTAGTCCCCTCTGGGATTCCAGTTGACCCCTTCCTTCAGGAACTTCACACCAGACCTCCCTCTGGGCCTCAGGTGTGAACAGTATCACGGCGCATTGCCCAAGAGCATGGCCCACCCTGAATGACAACCACCCAGGTACTCGTCCATTACACCATGGTGATCTCCTAGCAAATAACCATCCAGCCAGCCTTGTTCCTCCAGGGCCTGGAGTGGGCCTGCCAGGAAGTCTGAGGCTGGCAGATGTTCATCCAGGGCTTCCTGTGTGCCAGGCTCCACACAGAGAGCCTTCTCCATGCCGATTTCCCCATTCCATCCATATGACCTTCCTAAGCAGGAACACTGATTGTGACTCTCCTCATTTAACAGGCAGAACAATCCAGCCTAAAGAAATGCCTTAGCTTTCCGACATCACTCAGGTTGTGAGGGCAAAAGTCAGGATTCAAACCCAGACCTGACCCCAGAGCACACTCTGAGCCTCCCTTGTACCAGGCCTCAAGCCACCTGGGTAAACCCTCCATGCTTGTCCTGGGAAGAGCCCAGAGGGAAGCCCCAGGTGAGGATAGCCTCCGGCATGAAGTGACCCAGAGCTCATGCAGACACCAGGCGAAGGCACTGTGGGATTCCTTGAACCCTGGGCCAGCCCGTGCCCACAATGAGCAGAGAAAGAAGTGGTTAGTTTGGGGTGAGGCGGGTGTAGACCTGTGTGACTCGGGCCCAGCTCTCCTACCATGTTCTCCTGCCTCCACTGAGAAAAAGGAACCGCCTAGGCTTGCTCCACATCACACCCTTAGGTTTTGCACACAGCAAACATTCCACGAATGCACACTGTCTCAATGAGCACATGATTGAACAAAGCAATCCGCCTGAGGTCTCTTTTACTTTCTTCTATGCATTTATTTTTTTGTATCTCTCTATATTTTCCCAATACTCTGGTGATGACAAACCTGAACATTTGTGGGTTGAATCTACGTACCCCATGCAGCCCCCAGCAGAGCCATCTTGCAGGGGTTATAAACAGCAGAGCCCAGTCCTTCTGTAAGTATTGGGTGCCCTCTAGTGGCCATTTTGGGATTGAAACGCACTAGGGTCCTTGCGCTGCAGAGTGAGATTCTCTGGAGCTAAGGACAGGGACACCACCTGCTTAGGAGAGTGGTCTGCCACCCCCAGATTCCCCGGAGCCTGTCCCTTCTTTCTTCAGTCAAGTTGGATACTGAGGCTGAGCCCCCAGAGAAGTTGACCACAGACAGACCAGGGCAGCCCTTCCCTCGTGCACCACTGAGCTGTCCAGTCTCCAGTGGTCCTGGGGACGCATCTGCACAGCTCAACCTGACAGATGCCCAGTTTGGGGGATTAGGAGAGGAGACCTGACCAGAGAGGACACAGTTCCCACAACCCCAGGCCAGCCTTGGCGCACCTCAATGTGACATCCGGGCCACTGCTCCTGCTGTAGCTCCTGCTCCAACCATGGTCTAGCTGGGTTTAAGAGGCCTTTGGTCCTACCACTGATGACTCCTGGGCACGAAACACCTGGGGAATGATGCCCCAGGAGTGTGAGTGGCCACTCTCTCACCTCTCGGCTGCCCACACCCCCTGAGCTGGGCCCAAGGCCCCTGTACTTTTGGCTCCTTCTTCTAGACATTCGGGGTTTGGAATTCGTTCCTAATAGAACTCAAATTCCTCCATCTAGCACTGTGAGAAGGAGGCCTGGGCACCCAGGAGGTTCCCAGGAAGCTGAGCTGAGTTGGAGAAGGTGGGACTGGGAGCCTCTTGACAGCTCCCATGGTATTGGCTGGGAAGACCTTGCCACCAGTTAGGACCTGGACAATACTCAGGCTGCTGCTGCCGCACATGACCTGGGGGCTGGCACTGCTGCTCAGATCACCCTATGGAAGGGCCACACACGGAGCCTCTGAGCAGCCGTCCGCAGTGACATGCAGGGCAGAGGCTAGAGAGCCTTCAGACCCTGCCGCAGGCCTAACTCCACACTAAAGCTTGGGTGGCCCCACTTACCGGATGCCTGGCCTCTGTCTGCACAGCTCCTTGGGGTTGCCATGAACCCCCAACGTGGACTCCAGGGTCCCGGATGAGAGCTCCCAGCACTGTACCCAGGTGGGACCTCCACTGTCCAGACCCCAAGAAGCACCACCAGCCTGGCCTGGGCCAGAGGATGCAGTTTATTGAGGGGGAAAAACTCTATAAAGGATTGGACCAGGGATACCGGATGCACCCCAGTAAGAAAGAGAGAGAGAGAATCAGTCTCCCCTGGGAGAGTTATTTAAGTCACGGTCAGAAGCTCCCAACCTAAAGTGACTCAGCAAAGCATCAGGGATAATCCCTAGAGCAAATGTCCAAATTTTGCAAACTCTTATTTCCTGGAGAGAGGGGCTAAAATGTGACCAGGGCCATTATCATGAACTGAAAATTGAATATTTTTCTAATACTGTGTTTAACATCCCAAAAGAATCCAGATTGCTTGGGGCAGTTAGTACTTCTAAAGAGCACTGCAGTCATTTTAGAGATAAATTACACACCTATTTAAATGATATGACTTGAAATGACGGTGCCCTCGGGACCTAGTTTCAAAGCTGCCTGTTCTGATGGCCAGCTGTGTGACCTGAGGTAGAGTTACTTAACCTCTCTGAGCCTGATTTTTTCCCCATGTGTGAGATGAGGCTAATAATAATTCATGACTGGCAGGGTTTTAAGTTCACAGCATAGGTTTGAGCACGTTGGAAGCTATCAGCCCAAGCTGGATACACTACTGCTCAACTATTATCATCTACTACTATGATGAATGGGTCGGTAGGTGTTCATGTATCACTCTGTGTCAAAGAACACTTGACACGCTCCAGGCTCACAGAGCAGATAGGTGTTCACTTAGGAATTTGAAAATCGTGCGATTATCTCATTTCTTATTATTGGGCAAAAAAAAAAAAAGGTTAAAAAATCTGTAGCCAGTCTTGGGCCATGGTCTTATACACAATGTTTGTCAGTTATTTCCATTAACCTTGACACAAGATCTTCCAGATGCTTTGCTATCCTGGTGTCTACTAACCACCCACCTCTCCATCTCAGGCCCCTTCAGCATGGACAAGGCACCTAGATGGACACAGAGCAGGAAACACAGGTGGGGAGACCATTGGTGCGGGAGGGCGAACTTTCCCAGCCCAGGGGCCCTTCCTGTGCCTGTTAGCCTGGCAGCACAAGGAGCCAACTCCCCACCCGCCCGGACCTGTGCACATCCCAGCTCTGACCCTGGGGCCCTCGACAGTTCCCCTGAACCTGTTTCTTCTTCTGAAAAAACAGGACAATGACACCTGTCCAGGTGGGCAAATGCTGTCGTGTGAAGAATACCCCCTGAAGCTGGGAGTCCTGGAACACACAGTGGTAGGTGTTGATGTCACAGTGTCGCAAGATGCCAACAAGTTAGCTTTGACAAGAGGCTCCCAGCTCACAATTCCTGGCAGGAGCACACACCAAGGTGTATTTGAAAGCACCTGAGCGGCACAAAGAGGCAAGAGACACTCAGCCCCTGACCCAGGGTCCAGCAGATCTGAGTTCTATGTTTCTGTGTCTTTCTTTTTTCTTTTTGTACCAGGGATTGAACCCAGAGACACTTAACCACTGAGCTACATCTCCAGCCTCTGTTATTTTCAGACAGGGTCTTGCTTAGGGCCTAACTAAGTTGCTGAGGCTGGCTTGAACTCACCATCCTCCTGCCTCAGCCTCCCAAGCCTCTGAGGATTACAGGCATGTGCCACCATTCCTAGTTTTTTTTCTAGACCTTTCCAGAAATTGACTGATATGCTCTGTAAAATATCCTGGATTTAGAATGCAAGTCAGCCCCCCCCAGCCACACACACACACACAAATGGAGAAAAGAAAACCCGTTCCTGGGCCTCAACTCTGAGACTGGGGAGACTGGACCAGTGATATCTCTGGCTCCTCTCTCACCCCAGGTGTGGGGTTCTGGAACTCTGTCACCCTCGCGGGGTTTGCACCCTCAGCCCAGGACTCCAGGGATCCGAATGCCTAGAGGGACTCAAGGGGAGCTGAGCTGGACGGATTTTAGCCCAACAGAAATAGGAGTTCCCATTGCTGTGCAGAGGCCGCCATCTACTGGTCAGATGAGGTAATAGCAGCCAACTCCCGCCAGCATCCCCAGGAGAGGATCAGGAATAAAGAGGGAGGGGAGAAGGAGGAGGGGAAGGAAGAGGAGAGGGCAGGAGGGAACATGTCCAGCCCAGCCAGTAGCTGATGCAGGAAGGAACCCAGCAGCAGGGCCCTGAGCCACCTGGGGCATCAAAGCTGAGAAGCAGCTGAGTGCTGGGGGGGGGGCGGGCTGGGGAGGCAGGCCTGCACCTGCTGCTGGGAGGGCTGGGCCTGAGCACTGGGTCTCCTGGGAGACAAGTACCAATGAAGCAGGGAGCATGCATGCGCATTCCTGCCTGTGGCGTGTCTGCAGACAGGCACCTTCCGTCTGTGGCCAATGACCCCTCTTTCTCCCTCAGCTCTCTGATCCCAAATGATGTACCTGCTGCTCAGGGTCCCTCAGAATCCTGCCCCCAAGTTCTTGCTTCTGCTGGTCCCCCATCAGGTTTTTCAGGGGTGTATCGCGCAGCTGGAGGAAAACCTGTCTTGATGCTTTGGGCCTGGCTTGGATATGTAAAGGAGAAGAAAGAGTCTCCCGAGGGCTTTAAAACAATTGGCTCGGTGCATCCTCTCTTCCTGAGCCAGCCACCCAGATTTGGACCAGCCAGGATCTTCAGGAGTCCCCTTCAGGAAATCCAGACCAGCAACAGTGGTGTGGCCCTGTGGAAGCCCAGCCCAGGCAGGCCTCCCACAGCCCACAGGGCCACATAGCCAGGCTGAGCTGAGTGGAGCTACCCCAATTGGTGCCCTGGCCTCTGTGTGTAGGAAGTCACAGGGAAATGTCCCCTGAGATAGCACTGAGAACGATGCAATTCTGTTTATCTCTTTTAAAACTTTCAATTATTTTTTTAAGATTTTTTTTTTCAACCCCAAGCGTTTCCTCTTAGTTAATTCAGGGTTCCCTCCAAATCTTTCAGAAGCAGGTTGTGCCCTTTTCACAGGTGGATACACAGAGGCCTGGGGCAGAGAGGTGGATAACTGCCAGGCTGCTCATCTCAGCCAGCAGCTGGGCCTCAGTCCTCAGCCCTCCCAGCCAAGGAGTCCACACGGTGCACCTGGAATCAGAGATCTTTCTAGCAGAAAGCTTTCTTTGATACCAGTTGCACTGACTCACCAGGGAGCAGAGTGTGTTTAAAAGCCTGAATTTTATTCCCCAGCTCCACCCTCAAAGACTCTTACCACTTGCCAATTAAAAACAAAAACAGATAAAACCAGCTGTGTCCACCCCAGTCATTGTGTGGCAGGAACTTTCTGTACATGCACACTGTCCCGAGACTACCATCCCATGAAGGCAGACAATTTTTGTCTCCTCCGTTTTGGTACCAAGAATTTGAGACTCAGAGGAGTTAAGTGACTGACCTGAGGTTACACAGGCAGTGTGAGTGGAGCCACAGTCTGGTGCCTGCTTTTATTCATTGCTTGTTCCCAGAGCCTGCAAATGCCACCCACCTCCATCAGCCCTTTCCTCTATGGAAGCAGCCTGGCATGATCCAAATGTTAGGACTCCCAGTTCCTAAAACACAGGGTCCGGCAGCCCAAGGTCAGGGTTATTACAGTTTATACAACTGCAATCACTAAAGAAGAACTAAGACAGAACAGGCAGATTCTGGCAGCTGTTGAGAGATCGACTTGGTGGGGGTGGGAGGGACGCGGCAGGAATTCCTCCAGATAACACCCTTTGAAACCTTCCCATGATGAAATTAAAAGTGGGCCTTAAGTGATTTATTTTTTCAATCTGTGAATCTAAACAAATGATCTCCCTTCTAGGTACATCTATCATATGATCTCCTTCGCAGCTGTGAAAAAAATGCTATTAGTGCTTTCAAAGCAGTTTTATCACAGATTAAAGAAGCCCAGGAAAAAAAAAAAAAATTGGCAGCCAGAGTCAGCCATATGCCTACTTGACCTAGGACCGTAAACCTGTTGTTCATTCCAGAGAGGGGATTACGGCATTACTTTTAGTAAGTTGCTTTTCATATGGAAATTTCTTTTCACAGTAAAGATCTGTCTTTAATAGCATCATCCTAAAAACATGCCTATTTTTTAATTCCCTGATCATGGACATATAGATTTTTATAGTGTCTGCAAGCATACATTAATGTTAATTTCTCCATTCTCCTTTGTATTTTGTTAATGTCACAATCTGCTGTAAAACCTTGCCAAGTTTCTTAACTGTCATGGTAATTCCAAGACCTATTCTGCACTCTTTGACATTTCAGGACAGAACAAGGCAGTAAAAATAGATTAGAAACAGCTTATAAGTATTATAAAATCTAGAACTTTACAGATGGCGGAATTAGGTCTGCTGAATGGAAATTTAGCAACTCTGAACACAATAATATTAGAAAAAGGCTATTCATTTCGAAGGTAAATATTTGGAAGTGGTGGTATAATGGCGACCAGAGGAGTGGGGGGGGGGAACCTATAACATGCAGCGGGGTTATATTATTTTAAGCAGCTTACTGGATGCATAGACCACATCCTGAAGAGTTTCGGGTTTCAAAGGTTCTCTCTCCCCGCTACCCCCATATAAATAAAGGACACATAGTAAGAGTTTGATTTTATTCATGGTCAGTTCAAAGATCACACCAATTATTTCACTCAGAGGATTTGTCTGCGTTTTCCTAAGTTAAAGCAGAGCGTTACTGTACTTAGATATTAAATGACACTACCACATGCTAAGAAATTTGCACGAACGGACAGGAAATTAGACACTGTTTTCTTAAACTGATTGCTAAAGAATGCACACGGTTTAAATGTGCACTATCCATTTCAAAGGGAAGCGTTGGTTGATTTCAGGAAGTTTAAAATCAGCTCATGGTAAAGCAGGACAGAGTGAGGGTTAAATGTGTTTTTCTTCCCCCCAAAGGGAAACTATTTCTTAAAAAAAAAAGAAAGAAAGAAAAGTAAAAGAAAGAAAAAAGAAAGAGAAAAACTTTCCCCTTTCTCTTTAAGGACTTATTATTTCCATCATCCTCGTTGAGTTGTTGATGAATAGTCCGCATCCCTTGCCAAGCCCCACCCTCGCCTTTTTTCTAAGCTCTTTTCTCATTATTTGCCCAGTCATTTTCCCACAGCCCCAACTGGCCGTCAGGGCGGCTTAAATACAACACTGTATTAACATGGGGGAAATGGCTTTCAGTTCCCAATTGATCCCCTAATACGTTATGTTGAAATGATAATTGGTACACTCTTCATTGAAAAATAAGAGAAAAACTACTTTTCAGTCACCACGAGGTATTATCTTAGCCCATGTATTCAGCACTAACTGATACATTTTTTTTAATACAAAAAAAAAAAAAAACTATACCCCCATCTGCGGGAGAGACTGCAGTCCGCAATTCCTTTCAGTTGACATAATCCAGATTGATTCGTTCAGCAGATAAAATTCAGGCCACTTCTGCCCTTTATGGGAGCAACATAATACCAGTCTTTATTCAGTAACAATGTAACATAATGGGATCGGAATGTGCAAGATGACTGTTCTTAAATTACTGAGCCTCACAAGGGCCCAACACAAGCTGGGGCTTAATGTAAAAAATCATTAGGCACAGATTTCTAAAGTGCTCCTGCATTAAGGAGGTCAAACCGAGCCTGTTTATGGAATTTTTCAGGACAGAAACTCTTTGCTAATATCTTGATTATGGCTGTGTCCTGGGGGGGGGGGCCCATCCAGGCACCCACAGCTCAGCTCAGCACTCCAGCTCCATGCCACAGCCACCCTGAGAGGGACAGGGCCAGATAAGGTGGAAATGAGGGATCAGCAGGGACCCCACACTCACAGGCTATTTTCAGGACAGTTTGGTGCATCAAATAATTTAGGGTAGGAGCTATTAAACTATGCTAATTTCAAGATCTTCGGGGCTGGTTATTTAAACACACAAGAAGATTTAGAAAATAAAGAAAGGATAAAGAAAAATCGCTTACTATCTCAATACCTAGAAAAGACACCCTGGGCTTTCTGAAAGTAAATTCACCCCATCTTTATACTGTGCACAGTGACAGTGACTGTTTCATATGTTTTTTTATAAAATTTATGCTTCGAGCACAGCCTTTCACTAAATGTTACAGGTACTGTCAATATTTCTCCATGCCATTAATTATTCCTCTGCAATATAATTTTATGGCTACATGGTGCTCTTTCATGTGAAGACACCCTAATTTAACTTTATTCCTATCCTTGGGCATATAGGGTGTTTCCTAAGTGTCCCCTGTTATAAAGGATGTGTCAATCAATATCCTTATACAAAAAAATTTCCCCCCATGTTGGATGATTTTCTTTGGAGACATTATGAGAAGTAGGATTGCTGGGTGAAAGAGCACACACATTTTATATCTACTTGAGACACATCTCTTCTTTGGCCTCCACAAGTCTTGTACCCATTTGTGCCGCAGTGTTTAGAGTAGGGGCCCATAACATCAGCCTCTTTCTTTGGCTGAACAACAAACCACAAAGACTTCTTAAATGTTGCTTTGCATCTGCTGATTCATACCACTCAAAGAATATGGTGAAAATTATTTGATTCCACACATTCACATAAAAAAAAAAAATCTACCATCAGGAGAAAGACTATATAAAGAGAGGCAGAGAGTACAGGTTCTCCCTAAACCTAAGGTTACCTAAGAAAATTCTAGAGAAGTAAAATGGAATAAAACGGAACAGAGAGATTGTCCCTGAATGGAAATGATTTCTTTCAACTTGCAAGTCCAAACCTCATGCAATTTAATTTTTGAATTTGAGAGCATTGCTGGTCTCTTATCTTGTTTAAATAGAAGAGTTCCAAAATTCGAATCACTGAATCATCGGGGGGCCTCCGAGATGATGCAGTTACTCTTCGGAACACTGGGTTCACGTCTGGAGTGGGGCTGAGATTTGGTCAATGTTTGCAATAAATGAACCAAGCACCATGTGTATGCACAAGGCCACCGGCGCACGAGTGCGAGGCAGAAATTTTGCGCATGTCTGTGTACACACACATGCGCGTAAATATATTTATCTCCAAAACGAACATCGCCATTGTGGTCTCATCGTTGAGACTCACACCATCAGAAATATTTGCATGAGATTACTGGCCTCTGCTGTCAATCATGTCGGCATAAATCCAATACTCAGGCCATATGGCCTTGAAACTTTCAATCGATAGGAACCTTTTAAAGCTGAAGCTTCAAAAAGTTGTATCAAATATATATTCAATGAGAAGAAGGTTAATTGAATAATTGATTACTCAGTAACAATTAAGTGCTCTTCAGATATCTTTGGGAAATTGTGAAATGTAATGGTGATAGATATTTATTAGTTTATCAGTTATTACCGCCTTATATATTTATTTTTAGGCCTCGAGTCAATTTCTTTCATTTATATATTTTATTCTATATTTTACCATCAGAGCCTCTGGGGTGAAATGATACATCTATTTTTGCTACCACAGGGCCAAGGAAATGGCAGTCAGGAGAGCATCTGCAAATGCACTCAACACTGCAGCCTTTCCCACCAGAAACAAATTCCTCCTGAGGAATTTGTCTTCTCAGGTCCAATAGTCAAAAGGCACCTTTCAGAAAGGTCCCTGCTCCAACATACAGTCATTTTTTGTGAAGAATGTATGGGTGCCCAGGACTGCGTGTGGCCAGGGCTCTTGAAGTATGGTTGGGGGAGGTCTTCTGCCTCGTTTCCCTTCAGAATTAATCAGATCTGGGGCAACTATCATATCTTCACAGAGAAGTGGAGGGAACCATGCATCCCTAACATTTGTTAATAAGTCCCTGTGATCTGTCACCTATGGGTTTTCCAAAGAGGTGAAATCACTGAGAATTTATCAAAGAGGATAACTACACATACACACACCTCTGTGTCCAAGGGGATGGGAGCAAGAATTGAATCTGGTTCTATTCTGCAGGAAAAAAAAAAAAAAAAGACCAAGGGCTCATTCTGTAGACCATGATTGTATGCATCTCTAC